ATACAAGTTTGTCTCCTCCTCCTCAGTTGCTGAGGAAAGGTCTTTTCTCAAACAGAGAATGTTTGAACATTAGGTAATCGCGACGCTTGGTCAGAAGTACTCAGGACGGATAACCGTTGTTAATTGTAAGTCGCAAGTTTCCTTACGATGTTTTCCTTTATTATTTGTCAATGGTGTCTAAATAATAATAATGTAGGTGCGCTGTATATTATGTATAGTGAACTAAATTGAACGTAAACACAATTGCTTGGTGACTATCGTCAATATTTTTACGTAGGCTATGTTGAAAAAATACGTCAGTTAGAACAATTGGTGCTTAACGCTAACACCTATTGTTAGACAGCACACGATTGTCGAACATTATTTAATTACTGTGATCACTCTTAAGTCATACGCGATGTTGTAATTAAATAAAACAATAGGATTACTCAGCACACGTGGTAAGGGAAGCTAATACTTTTATGAAGTTATAGAATTATTATTATTCGTTTCGTAAAGACTAGTATAATACACTAGCTACTCTCACGCTGTTTCACCCGCTGCTCGGCTCCATTTCATTGTAGCATGATGTTTTATAGCCTATAGCACTCAGGAACATTGTAGCTATATAACAGTGAAAGAATTTTGGAAACCAGCGGTTCCAGAGTTTACCCCCTACATACAAACTTACAAACATACAAACTTACACCTCTTTATAATATTAAGTATAGATAAGTATAGATTATGATAAACCAGTCTAATGTAGCATAGGATTGGTAAGCTACAGTATCATCATCATCATCATCAGCCTATAAGTGCCCATTGCTGAGCAAAGGCCTCTTCTCACACGGGGAAGGTTAGAGCATTAATCACCACGCTTGCACAATGCGGGTTGGCGATTTCAAACTTATAATTAGAAATTATAAGTCCAGGTTTCCTCACGATGTTTGTCTTCACCGTATGTCAGTGGTATTTAAATAATCATAAAAAGTACTTATATATAACTCGGAAATAATCACATTGGTACTTGCCAGGTTTCGAACCTCCGGGCCACCACGACCACGACTATGTACAAAGGTTGCTATACAATGTTTCTCATAGAATAGCGCTGGTGTAGCTTTTAATCATTAGTAATTTTTTCTTGGTTGACGACGAAAGCAGTTACTGTGTTACAGCTTTGATTATTCGGAAGGAACAAACATAAAACCTTTCATTTTCTATACCAAATAACAACTATGGTATATAGCTATGCTCAGCATGTGCTGATTGGCTTGCATGAATGTCCAGCAAAAAAAAACCTTATGTAATTCATTTCAAATGATATACAGACACGAATCAATCATAAGCGGTGTTACGCAAACATACACATACTCCTATGCGTGCATGTATCACATAACTGCAGTCGCGACGTAAATAATACAACACATATATTCGCACAAATAGAAAATCTTAACTATTGACATTCATTATTTTAACTAAGTTAAACGAGTAAGGTCGTTAGGTACTGTTTATACGAGGTAACTCGTCTCATTTCAAGCCACGTTCAGGACTCATATTCATGAGTAGCATTGACAAAAAGTCAAAAACAGTTGTGCTTATTATTTCACCCGCTTTGTGCAGTATACCTAAAAACAAAAAGGTTCCATGTATATGATGCTTTCTTTTCTTTCTAGGTACGAGGTTCAATTCTAAACTGACTTACTTACTGAGTACTTCAAAAAAGTAAAATTAAACCCGATAATGGTTTGCCTGAGCCGGGACCGCTTGCTTGGTAATCGACCGACCAATGTACCTATCATAGATTCCAATAACTTTTAGAACTTAAGTATCTCAAGGGATCCAGACAACATTCTAGATACGTAAACAGGTAGACATGTCCAATTTGATCGGTAGCAAATCTAGTATCAGTTGATTTACGTAAGATATGAAATGTTGTTAGCAATCCGCTGCCATTCTGGACTTTCACTTCTAGGCGATAAGTACGACATATGAATGTACAAAATATATATTTGGCAATTATTATTACAAGCACATAAAAGCAAGGTGATGTATGGCAGTTTTTGTTTTAGGGATAATACCGTGTATAAATCGACGTCATGAATGGTAAATGAAGGATATATTATGTGACACGCTGACTGACGCAGTGATAATCAGCATTTTTTGAGGTGGGCAATCATCAAATGACTTCTCACGCCCAGGGTGAGGCAAGAGGGAGTGTCAGACTCTTACTGACTTAAGACCTCCTCGTTCCTTCTCCTGTTCTAGGCCTCAGAATCCTATTGCCTACCCCAGCTGAATGGTAACTAGCTAAAATGCGCAATAATACATATAGGTATACCTTATCTAATAATTTTGTAGCGGATCTGTTTTTTTCTTTTAACAAGTAGGCTGAAGAAATAACACAGGTAGGTACTGTTAGAAGGTTCTTCTATTTTTTTAATAATGTTGAATGGTATCTGCAGTGTTGTCCACGATCCCTATTCTTTGCACTTGACTTCTATCAAGCAATTTTTTATGAGTAGCTTCGTTTTAATGGGTTGCCATACTTTTGGCTGCTCGATAATTTTCGATGGTCATATTAAAACTTAATACGCGAATCTGATTCACATTTTTACTTTTAAACAGATTTTATCAAAGTTTTTTGGTAAATATCTTCACGAACAGTAAACTGCTTAATGTGCAAGAAAATATACATGTTACACTTGATAAAATAAGATTACAATACCAACGGGTCCTTTTTAGGAATAATTTAAAAAAGGAAAGATTTTTGTATGTTTTCCTTATAATAAAATCGAGCTAAGCTTGCGATAACACAAGACCATTAAAAAAAAAGTATCAAGAAAAACATATACCTACAATGTCGTTATCCAGATCAACTCGAAAGTATGACTCACAGAATTATTCAATAAAATATTTTTTTTAAAAAACCGCCGCTACATCTTCATGTATTGTGGGTCATTAAATAAATAAATATTCGCGTGGGTCGACAACCGTCATCTTCGGCCCCAGTAAGGTCAAATCTTGTGATATTTATTTATATTTGGAGAATATTATCGATACCTGATATCCTTAACACAGATGCTACAATAATATATGGTCATCATTTGCAAAATTCATTACAAATCTTTGGTGAGTACGTAAACAGAAACTAGTCTTGGTAACACATACAACTTTTAAACTCGTAAATAACTGTCCATAACTTCGATAAGCAATAATCTACGACAACGCCATCTACATTGACGGAGATAAGAAAGCTCTTTTCTCCACAATGTCAGCAATCACTGGTAATCAATTTAACACTCGCAATATTAATTAACTGTTTTGTACTATTCACTTAATTATATTAACATCAAAACAAAACACTAAACGTATACAAATATCCTTCACAAAATTCCGCTCACCACGCGACGTTATCATCACCAAACATTAGACAACCTTTCTATCAAACCTTTGTCAGAAAATAGAGAAGCAGTTTGTTGTAAGGTCAATGTTCTTATCAAGACAATGATCAACAGCTTTCTGGAATCCTCCAAATCCTTAGCAAACAATGATAAAACAATTCTTTGTTACAATTGTCATCTCCATCATTGTTTGCAGAAACAAAACGTTTTTAAATATGGCGCACGCTAGGTGTTTTGGCGGGATTTTCTTATTACCTATACTTATTTTGTTTTTTATGAATTGGGAATTTAAAACAGTGTATTTGAGTAATTAGCGAAGTTCAGTGTAGATACTCTGAGATACCCTTACTGTCTCTTACCAAAAATAAAACCTCTTTGAATTTCAGTGCAACGAGCGAATAAGTATTAAAATTGAACATTTATAATAATATGCATTTTCGTTCCTCTCTTCGCATCTCAAAATTTTAGCCTATTTTTTCATTGTTCTAAAATAAATTAGTACCGAATTAATTATAACCGATTAAAATTTCACTATATTTATTGTTAGAATAGAATGTAAATAGCAAATTGACGATGTGTCAATATCCTTAAATAGTGGTAACATTCAGATTGCGAATGTTGTTTGTGTTCTACTTAAAGTTACGCAAATTATGGCCATTCTCCGAACGTTGCAGAAATTAGATTGCACACTCTATGCTCTCAATAAATTATGTCACTGTATGTATGTATGTATTTTTTTGACTTATGTAAGAATGGAAATGCCCTTGGCGATCAGCTGATCCGTCTTCTCGTTTGCCCTAACCTATTAACTCATTTGGATGTCCCTAAGTACAGCGTGAACTTGTAAATAAATAACAAATCTTAGCATAATTCTATTACCTACTAAATACTTATTGTAAAATTCAATTGCCAGTCAGTAAAATTAAAATGATCTAAAATCATCCTTGATCCCCTTAACAAGGAAAGCTTTTTAGGCTAGAAACAGCGGTTTTTGGATAAGAATATAAACATAAAACCGATTACATAACCTCACGTGCTTTTTTAAAAATAACCAATTCTTTCTAAAATAGCTCGTTCTTATTTTAATTTATACATCTTTAATCTATACGTACCGTTATTGAGTTAAAATATCCTAACAACATTAAAAGTAGACCGAAGGTTATTTTACTAGTCAAGTTGAGCAAAAAACCAGTTGTTTAATATAATTGATTCGTTGACGTCAGAATTAAATTGACAAGGCATCTGTTTTTTTTAGTTTGTTGTGTAAAAAATGTCTTTGATAAGGATTTCCAAATGGCTACTTGAACTCATTGATCTAAATAAATTACTTTTATTTCATATTTAAAAGTGACGACCACTGTTCGTAAGATTATATTGGTTTTACAGTCCTATCGTTTTCAACAAAGAGTAGGGCAATCCGTTATACAAACTTCTTAGTGGTCAGTTTAAAACTAACTAAATTACCGTCGTCCTTCAACTCACAGTCTTTTCCCACAATCCTTATTACAGACAAACGCACAAATCATCATTTAAGACGTAAGTACTAAACAATTTGCATACGGATTACAATCAGCGAATGATAACAGAGATAAGAACGCAAAACTCGACAGTAATCGTTCATTTTACATCGTCATTATTTGGCGCCAAGTGACTGGCTGCTTTCTAACCAGTTTATTTTTATTATTTCATAAATTCTCTTTTGTATTTATTTAATAGATTCAATCTTTTTATTAATTTCAATTTTGTTCTGTTATAAAAACAATATTTGAAATATGGTAAGTTCATTTTTCTACTCAGTTCCATATTTAAAATATCGATAGATTTTATTGTTTTTTTTTCTTTTGAAAACTTAAGGCTCGTAAATTGATGTGTTTGTAATGTTCATATTTTTTCGTTTTCCTTTTAACAACCTGTACGTACATAACGTCGTATTTACATGTGAAAGGACTGTGCAGTGTGCCATTATTTAATTATTTTGTATTTACGTAAGTAAGTAATAATTCATTTTGTTTGATATTTGTAGGCAGTTGAAGTGTTTTGTTGCCTTAAAAATTATCTAAAGAATATCTCACGGGGCCCAAAAAGGCTGGTGTTCAGCCGCGGTGGCGGGTCAAGCGCGATATATACCGCAGCCTCGGTCTAAAGCAGGACACGGATAGGGGTGGTTCTTAGTCAGTAAGAGTCTGACACTTAATAAGAGTTCCCACTCAAAAGAAAGCTATTGATTGTCATTATTTGTAACAGAAAAAGCCTGATAAATTATGAAACTAAAAAAATACAGTAATATCTAGTGAAAACCGCTTTGTATGTCGCATTAAGAAACTCAAATCAGTAATGTAAATAAAGCTGAATAATTCAAGAGAAATGATTTAGATAACAGTTTTCCTGGCTCTTGTATTTATTTAGCAATGCCGCAGGTTAGCTAGTCAGTAAAAATAATCTCTTCACTACATGTGCATGAATGGTTTAGATGATAACGCAAGATGTTTAGCGCGTATTTCATTGCTTGATTTACTTCATAAAGAATTCTTTGCTTTACTTATAACTTCATTGCGTTCAGTAGGTAACTCGGACGTAGAATTTCAAATAGAATTGTCTCTTAAAAATGGTTATAACTTATCCAAACGTAAGCAGTCCTAAAGATATAGGACTAATCTAGTTTCATTACTAGTGGTTCACATAGTGTAGTACTTAAGTTTGAATAAATTGTGATACAGTTAATAAAAAATAAAATAATAATAAAATTTGGCGTACTTTACACACAATAATAAATTAATTTTGCTATTTGATAAGATCCTCATTCCTTCATCACCATCATATAGATAGATGGTTGACAGTTGACAGGCAATTGATCGTTTCTCACGAAACTTTCTACATCGCGCAGCAAAACTTTGAAATAACTATCCTCAAAAGGCCGGCAACGCACTCGTAGCTCCTTTTGGTGTTGCCATGGGCGGCGCCGATTTCTAGTCAGGTAATCTGTCAGCTCGGTTGACGACCAATCTCATAAAAAAATGTCCTGCCAAACTGTTCTCGCTGTGTGTTCTCTAAGTACCGGTACGCACACATGGACTTACCATCAAGCGATCTGTCTACGTTTGCCTCATCTATATCTATATACAAAAATGAATCGCAAAATGCGCATAACCCACAAGGCTTGAACTAATATTGCCAATTATAGTGTTTATGATAGCCAGAAGGCTCTTATGAAAGAAAATTTGAAAAGTAGGAGGTAAATTGGGAGGTACCAACGCTTTCGTTGTTAGCGAGCTAGTTGGAACACGTGCGAAACAGTCAGAACTCGGACCACAAATATTCCATAAAAACACATGCATTACATTAAAAAGTAAAAACGTGCGGAAGATTTTATCAAAACTTGCGAAACTTGAGAGATAACTTTCTCTTCGCCACGTGTATGCCACGTTCAGAAAACAAACTCACTTATGTATAAGATAACAATGAATAATTTACAAGGGAAATATTTGCAAAAATCTCCGACAACCGCAGTTGGATACCGATATTATTTTTTCAACGATAACGTCATTCAAGTACATATTTTTAAACCTTGAACTAACAATACGAACCGTGTTTGTATTTTCGTGTTAATTTTGTACATTAGGTATCTCAATGTTATGATGAATATAAATTGTTTATTTACTTTCTTCGTAGTATCTATCCTGGTTTGATAACAAGATTAGTTGAATACAGTAGTTCTAGATTTTAATCTTAGGATTTGATTCACTATGATTTAGGGCTTATTTTTCAATGGTTAGATAAAAGTTATCAGTTGAATAATTATGATGCTGTAGCGTAAGAATGTTTGTATAAGACAGTGACAGCAACAAATTCATTCCTCAGATAACATTTATTTGACAATTGAAAAATCAGCCCTCTAACGAACAATTCTTATATACATGCAAATGTGTACCTATGTAAAATTATTTTCATGGGATCTCAGAAACGGCTGCAATAATTTCGACGGATTTTTTTATTTATAGACTTTCTGGGGCGAAAACAAATCAATCAATCTAGGTTTAAATTTTCAGGGAATAAATTTAATTCTGTATCGATTTAAGTTCGGTGATCCAGATACTCTAGATAGTGTACCTATCTAGAGTATCTCATTGTATTATTACTACAGATAGTTTTGAATTATTCACACAGTAATTATGTTAAAGTTTGCAATCACATATTACACAATACACGCGCATGTTTTAATATATTGCATTTATAACACGTGTCAGCCATCGACAACAGAAACTCCGCAATCAAATAATAAATAAAATGTCTTCAATATCTCCCACATTCTTTTATAGAATTCAAATTCAAATTCTTTATTTTCATGCTAAGGTACAAGGATCTTAAATTAAAATGACAGGCACAGCTTAACTGCCTTTTTCAGGCGTTGCAAAGAGGGCTATTACTAGCTTATAAAATAATATTAAATTACTTTGACTGCACGGTTGGTTCGGTGGCTGGGCAACTGGCTGCCGTGCAACGTGTTGCAGGTTCGATTCCCGCACGGAACAACACTTTGTGTGATCCACAAATTGTGTGGTTTCGGGTCTGGGTGTCATGTGTATGTGACATTGTATGTTTGTAAACGCACCCACAACACAGGAGAAAATCCTAAAGTGGGGCAACGTTTTTTTTCAAATGAAAAATGAATGACTTAATTTATATCACATTGCATTAAATTAGAATCACATCACCTGAATAGTAATCTAGAATCGAGCCAATGAAAATTCTACAAAACTGAGCTTGTCATTTCAAAATTTGGAAATGCTGTAAAAACTTTTTGCTTTGGCAATCTCGTTCTAATTACTTACTAGAATATACCTCTAAGGTACACAGTAGAGGACAATCATAGAAACACCAAAAGAATGAGAGTGTCTGTCTTAAAGGTCGCAACGAAATAAATCAGAAATAACTATTGGAAATCGAGAAACGGTTGATACCTACTAACACATTACAGCTAAAAGAACATCTAAAATTATATCTACATAATATAGCAACAATGAAGTACATTGAGAACAACAATGAGTCCCAAATCCCAGTCTCAATACCCAAACACGAGTACCCCACATGACAGACAACTTCCGTGCGAAGATAACAGATTTATTATATCATCCAACTGAGGAAGAACAATGGACGAAGTAATCTGCCACTTACGCACAACTCTACGCAAACAGGATTATATTGTGTTGTACATATACATTGTAGGTACCTTACACTTGGTTGCTAACGAACTATACTTTTGAAATGGTAAATAATACTGGCAGCTTTTGTATAGCAAGCCATTTAATAAATGAATGACGATGTTGAGTATAACAAATTCCTTTTTTAAAATAGGCTTTTGAAAATCGAATTTGGAATAATCGAGCCATTCCATAATTGAACGGTATCATTCGATTTTAAATAATAATAATTCCTTTTCACAATTGGACGGCTTTAAAAGTAACGTCAACGCTGAATTCTTCAAGGTCTTTTGCCAATTTTGTGACCAACACTAAAGTATGTTACATTTTATGTTTGAAGTTAAGCAAGACTTGGATCTGGTGTTTTGCCTTATGTTAGTTTACCGGAGGCCTAAGCCTGCCTCCTCCTACCCCTTAACTAATTTCCAAATTCCTTACCCAAAAAACCGGCAATGAGTCATGAATACTCCAATGGCGTTGTGTCCATTTATCTATGGGCGGCGCCGATTCCTTACCTTCAGAAGGTCCAACCGCTTCTTTGCCGTCCAAGTACCATTAAATTAAACACAAAAGCCAGTTTTATCGTCAGCAATATTAATTTTTTTTTATTTTTTTTATTTGATATGACGGCAAACGGGCAGACGGATTACCTGATGGTGAGCAATCGGCGTCGCCCATGGACACCCGCAACAAAGAAGGAGTTACGAGTGCGTTGCCGACCTTTTAGGGATTAGGGATTTGGAGATTTAGGGATTGAGGAGGGATTGGGGAAGGGGAAGGATTGGGCCTCCGGTAACCTCACTCACACGGCGAAACACAACGCCGTGGTTATTTTACGCCGGTTTTCTGTGAGGCCGTGGTATCACTCCGGTCGAGCCGACCCATTCGTGCCGAAGCATGGCTCTCCCACACTAACATCTGACTAACATGAATAGATCTGCTAATAAGTAAGAAATATGATCTCTAAATTATCACATTTCCTAATGACGTAACAAAACCCCGTCACATCTATCACTGCCTTCGTCTCATCATAATCCGATGTCACGTTTGCCTCGTCAGTCATGGTCTGTGCCGGCAAACTACACTGTGGTTACTTCATTATCGTTGTTACAAGCCGTGACGGCATTGATCTGACACACTGCGTTTCAATCAAATTGTGTTTTATTGGTAGCTCTCTTATCAAAATTAAAAACTAACTAATTCGACCTTATTACATAACCACGTTTTATTAGTCTTGGTCTTACCATTTAGCCAGTTTTTTATTTCAAACTAAAAGTAGGTGATAATAAGATTCAAAATACGTAACACGACTGACGACGACAATGGTTTAAACCTAGGCTAAAGATATCTAAATGTTGTTTTAAAAAAAGGGGAAATAGGATTTTTGTTTTCCAAAAATATCTACATGGATGTTATTATTTCATTTTATACATAGGACTATGTTACAAAAAAAGTCATGAGTATAAATGTGGATAGATGGAGAGGGAGAGGGAGACCAAAGAAAATATGGATGGATTGTGTGAGAAATGATATGGAAGACAGAGGAGTTAGCGATAGCGTGACGAGTGACAGGACAGAATGGAAGAAAAAAACATATTGCGCCGACCCCAAATAAAACGGGACAAGGGCAGGAAGATGATGATGACACATAGGACTATCTTTTTTGTCGTGTTCAACTGTACTTGAATCGATATTAGATTTCTTCTCTATAACATGCCCGTCACCTATAACTGACAAAAATAAATTTAATAATAAATCTTGTATATAAAAACGAATTGCTATTTGTTAGTCTCGCTTAAACTCAAGGACGGCTGATCAGAGGCATTAGAGTTTATTTACTATATCTTTCCGGAAGCATTTTAGAGTTGATAGCTCACTAAGAAAATTTGGCTACGTCTGAGCATTAATTGTATTATTGCTTCAATCCTTACCTAAATCAGATTTAAAAAACCAGTGTAATTTAATGTTATTTTTCGCCTTGTAGATAAGGTTACCTTAGTGATGGAGGTCCCAATCTTTCTCCAGCCATCCATCTTCTATCCCTAAAAGACCAACACCTAAAACTCCTCTGGTCTTGCGGACTTGTATCCAAGAGCGCCATCCTGTGATAATTTACAACCTGATGCCATAAAAAAAATCTTATAGGTATTACTAGCATTTGTTTTTCAAACAACAAACAAGTGAATTAATAGAGCAAAAATACTAATAGCATAATAGTCATGTACCTATTGAATGTTGTATATCACTTGTTCTGTGACGTTTGCTTACGTCACTTCGTCACGGTCAAGGGCAGCCACAATACAATGACGTCACAAAACACAACGAGACTAATACATTAGACACATTATCGTGTCCAAATGTTAAGGTTGATGAGACGGAACGTGGTTTGTATCGGTTCATTGATACTGTTCGTGTAATTTATTTTTTTATGTGACAGGACAGCCAACGTGCATACGGATTACCTGATGGTAAGCAATCAGCGCCGCCCGCAACACTCGCAATAACCGAGAAGTTACGAGCACATGACCGATCTTTTGGGGATTGGGGGTTTGGAGATTTTGCCGGTTGAGCCGGTCGGCGGAAAAGGTCTTTTGCCGAAGCATGGCTCTCCCATACTTATTTCTATTGTTCTGCTTTTTTTTAACCTATGAGATGTCAAAACTGACAAAGGTTTTATTTGAGCCGAATTATAAATTTCACCTTGTGATTGGAGGTATTTTACTGTGCCATTAAGTATCTGGGTACCTAAGGTTGAAAATATAAGAACTCAGATTAGAAATCTTCAATCATTCATCTATCAAATGAATTCTCTTGTCCCTAGATGGGCTACTGGGAATGTTAGACTATACTTCATTAGTGCGCTTGCATCCTCAGTGACCACCACTATTAGGTTCCGCCTGTAGTGGTGTAATCAAATTGATTTTTCATAATAAATTTTAAACAAAGAGACAAATACATTATTATTTTCTTTTGTTTTTTACAAAGTAAGAACTGTTAAAACAGCATAGATAAACAGCAAATTAAGTTTTGTATAAAACAAAATTACTTAGCACGTTTCGTTAATTAGTTAGACAATGTTAAGTACTAAGACATGACTACACAAACAAACAAATCTGAGACTACATAATAGTTAGGTAGTATTTGTTATATTTTCAATTTTTCTTCGGTAAATGACCTTTAAATAATCTCTGCTAGAAGGTTAACTTCGTAGGATCTTTTCGGATTCGCACCAAAACATTCGTGACTAAATAATTTATATACATATAATTGATAGGTTTTTTTTGATACTAAAAGTTTATACTACAAATACTGAATGTCTTCTTATATATCTAAATATTCGGTTAATGTTGCAAATTATCTCAAATGTATCCCAATAACAGAAACAAAACGGTTGTATTTCTATGTCTACTAAAAATCCGCAGAATTAAACCTAACCTATCATAAAAATCAATATTTACCAACCCCATCGACAAATAATTTAAGATCCTACTTTAAATACTTATTAATATACAATAACTACTTAAAATGTTATCCAAAATACGTACATAAGAGTTTCTTAAACATCACAGTGACATTGACCATAAGTATTATATATTTACCTACCAGCTTCCGCCCGCGGCTTAGCACGCGTAAAAAAGTAATGTATGAATGTATCCTGGAATTTTAAACAGCAGCATTAAAGCTATAATTCAACTAAATACGCAAATCATAGTATAATTTACAGCCTTATAGCACACAGGAATATTGTAGCTATCTATCAGTGAGAGAGTTTTGGGAATCCCGACCAGCGGTTCCAAAGATTACTCCCTACATACAAATTTACAAATTTTACCTCCTTATATATATACTGCCAAATGTTAGATAAAATTAAATAGTTAACTTATTTTGTGGTATTTTCGCATTTATCTTGTTTGTACAGATGTTTTACAAACTGAATCATCGTACAATTATGTGGCATTCAGTACAAGTTTGGGGAAAATTGGTTTAAATTATGAAGTGAATAGCTCATGGCCATGAAACTGTATCTTTTATCAAGTTAAAAGTGTAAAAATATTTGTTAAACACACGCTCAAAACCTGCTGGACGGATTCAGGTGAAATTAGAAATCCAAAGTTATTATAATGCGAAAGTAACTCTGTCTGTCTGTTTGCCTGTCTTTTCTTCACGCCTAAACTACTGAACCTATTTCTGTGTTTGGCACAGACATAGTTTAGAACTCGAGAAAGGACATAGGATAGTTTTTAAACCAAAAATCTACAGGAAGTCACTATTCCACGCGAACAACGCTAGTAACGTGTTCGTAGTGTATATAAAAAATGTAATAGAATAAGAACTCGTATTTTGTGTGATTGTTCATTATTTCATTGTTTCATCGACCCGTTTCAAAAGCTCTACTACTTTCAAACAAGAAAGGGACTTTTATTCATAAGTAGCGTGACTCGATAGAGACTATACAAAAAAGACCCCAGTCTTCTACCCAAAATAACCATATTCTTTCTTCATTACAGATGGGTTGTGGTCGGATATTCAACGCGTTACGTCGATGCAAGCAGCTGGAAGACGGTGACAACAGCACCCAGCTGGACAGATGTCTAGGTCTCCTAGACCTGACTGCTCTCGGGGTCGGCAGTACCCTAGGTCTGGGAGTCTACGTGTTGGCGGGAGCGGTCGCAAAGACCGTAGCGGGTCCCGCCGTGTGTATTAGTTTTCTTGTCGCTGCCGTAGCCTCGGCTTTTGCTGGTAAGTTGTACTAAATATTTAATTTAAATCCTACCTTGTTAGATTCTCATCATCAACTTATAAGTTGAGTGAAGCCTGTTCTCACACGAGAAGGTTTGATCGTTAATCAAAAACATTTGCTTAAGACGGATTGGAGATTTTACAACTAATTACAAGTCCACGTTTCCTCATGATGATTTCCCTCACATACACACTCAAATAGAAAAAGACAGATTGATACTCGTCAGGTGTAACCTCCGAGCCACCACAATTGTATGACATTAAATTAATTACAATTGTTAATTGCTTGGTACAGGTCGCAAGTACAAAAATGTTCGGAAAGTATTATAAGGGATAGATTATGGCATAAACTCTACGGATTAATTGTTTAATTAGTTTACATAACAAATTCAAGTTAAAGGTGTGAACTTTCGCCTAACATCTGTGTCATTCATAGTAATTTATTCATCAAAAATTATAGTGCAATATGTCCTTCAATTCTATCTATTTTCAAACCTCAATATCGTTATTATGTATTCTTATTACACAAAAATACGCGTAAACATAAAAAATGTAAACAAATACACATTACTCAACATCTATTATAGTTATTGCTTTTAATCATAGTAGTGATTACATGCGCAAGAGTGAGCGGTGTGAATGTTCCCTACACAAGGTTACTGGAACCTACAGCGAGTTTGTTTACGTTACGGCGATGGCCATGTTGATGACGTTCGGCGCTCTGATTGGCCGGCTCCAAGTTAACCAACCAATGAGAGAGCTAATCGCGGTAACGTTGCGATTCAGACTCGCATTTGACATTTATTCGGCCTGTATACATGGCCGAATATTGTCCCCTAAATTAATACTGTTCAGTATTCACTTCCTCGGGCCTTGATTCTTTGTCAGTTTTTGTTCTCATTTGCATCATAGTTGATCCCTTTGAGTTCAAAATGCGGATGTTGTAGTGTATAGGAAGTCATTTTGTAGCGTGTAGGCACAATAGTCGTAGGTTATCTTAGACACGTTACGTATTATTTAAATTCACTAGAGTCAGTCTGTCGTCCAAAAATCCTCAAACCAGAAATATGCCGATCAATTTTGGCGCTCCTTCTGATGACAATTACAAATCCTACAGGAAAGTGGTAACTCCGAAGTGTTGATTCCAACCGAAGTATACAGAAGTATACTGTTGTATAGTAGATAATCTCTCTATATAAAATTTTAGTCAAAGAAAGTCCGTTATTCTCATCCTCATCAAAATCATAAGTTGTCTCTCTCTAAGAAATATTCTAACAATCCAAAACATTATCAAGGTACATTTTGCTTGATCCTTTTATGACAATGATCTGTTAAAAATCTTTGTTCTTTGATAAAATCAATAAACAACCCACTCTAGACAAAGTAACAATACTTGACGAGTATCAATTGATGATTGTTAAAGATCTCATAAATCATTGTATTAGAATAATGAAAGACTGCAGTCGACACGCAATCAAGTAGATTTAACGGCACTGAGAACTGCTTTATTAAGTGAATAGCACTTAATATAGCATATTGTTACGTGCCTGACGTCACGTTCCTGACTATGCGGGCTTGGGTTACGGGATTGGATGAAATGAAACACTAATACCGGTTTTCAGACTTTCTATTGCACTTAAGTTACAGCGTCCACGGAGTTAAGTTATCGGCGTTCCTCTCCAGCAGAGTCCGGCCGACTGACACAACTTTGCCGTTCACGCTGACTTAACTCACTTAACTGACTGCACTTCACTATTTCACTGCACTTCACTATTTCACTCACTTTTCTTCTTTCTCACTTCTTCCTTTTCTTCCGAATCGCTTTAGACTTAGAACGCAACTGCCAGCGGTGAGCCGCAGTTCCGCTTATATACCCCCCCGTCAGGTTCTGGAACATTCAATTTCGTTATTCTTTTTGATCGTCATGCCTCCAGAACCTTCCAATAATTTCGTTATTCATTTTTATTTATTCTCCTTCTCGCTCTTTAATTTTTCATTCTTTTCACACAAATAATTCCAGAAAGTTCGACAAAACTTCCATCAACTAAAAAACTTCATGTTTACGGCGGGACTCGAACTCGGGGTCTCTGTGGTGTAATCCAAACGTCTTACCGATTACACCAACTCGTGTTGACAATTCACGACGAAATTTACAATCTCTAGGCAACGTTTGACAACCATCCATTGACGTCATGATGTCTAAGAGTTTGAACCACTTTTCCGTCACACTGCCCCCCTCTTAGATTCGCTCGTCCCGAGCATCGTTGCTGCCGTAATACCTCGCCAACCTGTCTATATGGACAACTTTCAAAGGGCTCCTTGAAGTCTTCCGAATTCTGTAAGTAATGTCATTGATCTTCGTGACTATCTCATAAGGACCTTCCCAACTCGGTTGCAGCTTCGGAGATTTTCCCTTCCTTCTGACTGGATTATGAAGCCAGACCAATGACCCCTCTTCAAACCCAACAGCATTGGCTCGTCGATCATAGCGCGTCTTTGCGCGATCACTAGCTTGAAGACCGGCCTCCCTGATCTGCTCATAAATGTCCAACATTTTTGCCCTTAACTCGTTTATGTAATCGCTAAACTCGGTGCGAGTGTCGCCAGGTGGACAGCCCGATACAAGATCTGCCGGTAATCTCAATTCCCTTCCAAAATTTGCAAATGCAGGCGTCTTTGCGGTACTTTCATGTACAGCAGTCCGATAGGCAAGCAAGAAGAGAGGTATGTAAGTGTCCCAATCTCTCTGATGGCTGTCAACCACCTTTGCTAAGTGTCGCTCCAATGTTTGGTTGAAGCGTTCGACCATTCCATCTGACTGTGGATGATAAGGGGTCGTTCGAGTCTTATGGATTCCCAAAAGTTTACAAGTTTCCTGAAAAACTTGGGATTCAAAGTTCCGTCCTTGATCACTGTGCATCTCCAAGGGCACTCCGAATCGGGTGAATACCTCGTTCACCAACTTCGTGGCTACATTTACTGCCTCTTGATTCGGTATGGCAAAGACCTCCGGCCATTTTGTAAAATAATCCATAACCACTAAAACGTAGCGATTGCCCGAATCAGTGATTGGAAATGGTCCAGCGATGTCTAAGGCTATTCTCTCCCAAGGCATACCAACATTGTAGATTTTCATCGCCCCTCTGCTTCTTGTTTGTGGACCCTTGACAGCTGCACAACTAGTGCATTTCCGGCACCAATCTTCGACGTCATATTTGCAATGCAACCAATAAAACCTCTCCTTGATCTTCACCAAAGTCCTCCTAATTCCCAAATGTCCTCCAGAAGATCCATCATGGAACGCTTTTAATACATCCCTTATTTTTGAACGAGGCACCACCAATTGCAAATGCTCGTCCTTGCCGTTTGTTGATTCCCATTTCCTGCACAGAAGTCCATTATGCAGCGTAAGGCTTTTCCACTGTGCCCATAAACCTTTCGTTACCGCGCTATATTGGGCGACGTCACTCCAACTTGGCTTGTTACCACTTCGTAGCCACTCCAGTATTGGTTTAATATCTGCATCTCTTTCCTGTTCTAATTTCATCGCATCATCTCCCCATGCCTCGTCAACAGTATCAGTCCTTATCACCTTAAGAAAAGCAGTTTCCTTCTTGGCACAATGCTTGCAATCTTCCACGCATGGGCGTCTCGATAATGCATCTGCGTTGCCATGAATTCTTCCTCCGCGATGTTCGATTTCAAAGTCAAATTCCTGAAGTTGTTCCAACCATCTGGCTACTTGGCCTTCGGGATCCTTAAACTGAAGCAGCCATTTCAAAGCAGCGTGATCAGTTCTGATCAAAAATTTCCGTCCCAGTAAATACTTCTTGAAATGGTGCAGAGTTTTGACTACGGCCAGCAATTCCCTCCTGGTCACGCAATAATTCCTCTCCGGCTTGGATAGTGACTTGCTGAAGTAAGCAATAACCTTCTCCTGCTCACCATCGCGTTGTGAAAGGACACCTCCTATTCCAATATTGCTGGCATCCGTATCAACTACGAATATTCCTTTCGCGCTGGGGTATCCGAGAATTGGTGTGTTACAAAGCCGTTCTTTTAGTTCTCGAAAGGCTTGCTCACAATCCTCGTCCCAGATAAAGGCACGTTTCTCCTCTGTCAATCGATGCAAAGGCTTGGCAATGTCCGAGAATCCTTTCACAAACCGCCGATAATACGAGCACAATCCAAGAAATGCCCGAACTTGCGTTTTGTCTTTAGGTGTTGGCCATTCCTTAACAGCGACAGTCTTGGCTGGATCAGTCTCAATTCCTCTCTCAGAAATAACATGTCCTAGATAATTCACTTCGCGCTTGAAGAAAGAGCATTTTTTTGGACTCAACTTTAAATTTGCTCCACGCAGCTTGTCGAGTACCTTTTCCAATTTCCTTAGATGATCGTCAAAATCCCGTCCAACAATGATGATGTCATCGAGGTAAACTAGGCAGGTTTCGCCCAGCAGTCCCACCAGCACCTGTTCCATCAAACGCTCAAAGGTTGCCGGTGCATTGCATAATCCAAATGGCATCACCTTAAATTGCCAGAGTCCCTTCCCAGTTGAGAATGCGGTCTTTTCCTTGTCCTTGGGATCCAAATCCACCTGCCAATAGCCGCTTTTCAGATCGAGCGTTGAAAACCATTTCATGCCACTCAGTGTGTCAAGTGTGTCATCGATTCTTGGTAACGGGTAGCTATCCTTCTTGGTTACATCATTCAATCGTCGATAGTCTACGCAAAACCTCGTTGAACCATCTTTCTTCTTGACAAGCACGACAGGTGAACACCAAGGGCTAGAAGAGGGCTCTATCACGTCATTTTTCCTCATATCGTCAATCATTTCTTCAACCTCTTTCTCACGAGCGAATGGTATACGTCTGGGCCTTTGACGAATTGGCATTGTATCACCTGTGTTTATTTTATGCTTCACCAAACCAGTTCGGCCAATATCACCATCGCTTCTTGAAAACACATCAGAGAATCGAAGAAGTAAATTTCTAGCT